AAATCAACGTGTAGGAGCACTTGAAAGGTTGGACCAAAGATTCTGTAAAATTCAGAGAAAGGGAAATACAACCTTAAATATTTCCTCCCTTTCTGTTTGTACCTCAGAAAACGTGGAATAATGTCTTGCACAAGAGTTTCAGAAGCCGCCCGACGTGCTAATAATTCAGTGGCCAAAATAAGAGCTGCACTCACAGAATGACAGGAAACAGAAGGTTGTATTTGAAATAAGTGGACTGAGCATGTGTTCGATGAGAGAATTCGGCATATTCTGTTCTCAAATGCTGGATTTGTGAGACGGGTTTAATCTCTGAACAGAGACGAGGTTCTTTGACCTCCTGAAGCCTGTACGGTTATACTTTGCGATTGCACGGTTAGATAATGTCAAAGGTAATGAGTAATTTCTGACTTTTTTCGGAGCCAGTTTGTCTCAGCCAAAATCTAGAGTCCCAAACTGAGCTCCTGTCTCCTCCAGCGAGTGCATTTCCTCTTTCATGTATAACACACGCTTTTGTGTAGCAGAGCTGTTGTTGTTTAGGGAGGCGATGAGATGTAACGGAGCAGTGCGCGGAGAGAGAGATTTGGACTGAGCGGTAAAGCATTATGGAGGTGTAAGTACGTCATGTCTGTCTTATGTCTGGACTATACGCTTTCGATTCTGTAAAAGCTGAAGTGGGTTTTGTAAATTTAGATCTCTTACCTCATTCATTTTCTTTTTTTTTAATTTCTGATTTTATATAATAGAGATCTTCTGGTGCCTGAAAATAGAAAAACAGTGACAGAGTATGTTTCCGTCTGGTATGTGGATGTGTTTTGAGTTTTGAGAGGAAAAGCTTGGCAGTACAAATCAAAAGAGCCAAGTCTAACTAGTGTAAGACAGGAAACTAGTGCATGTATATTCCATGACGCGACGAAAAAATCATCAGGGGTTCATCAGAAGCCATGACCGATAAATAACTTCCTGTTCACTCAAGATGGACATTTGATAAGTTGTTAGAGGAATTTTAGCAATGTGTTGAAAGCAGATCCGAGGGGAGATGTATGAAATTTTATGATTACATTTGTTTGGTGTACAAATGCTTTCCGCTAACGGATGGATTTTGTTTGATTTCCTAACACGGTGATTTGTGTTTCTGTAAAATACTTTCCTGTTGTATATGTGGCATACAGCACTCGTAATTCTCTTTATATTTTTGTATAATTCCCAACTTAATGGTCTTCTTTTGGACAACAGATGAGAAAATAATTTAAGAAAAAAAAACATGTATATCCAAACCGATTAAATAAAAGCCCCAAACCCTACAACGGCTGTATGTTTGCCTTCTTTTGATAAACTCTGGATGTTTAATGATCTGTGAGGTAAGAATGAGTCTCTGTTTTCCATGTACATTATCACTTACACAGCACTTTCCAGCTTAAGATGAAAAACCCTTCCACCATTCTCCTATAAAACTGCCAGCCGTGAGAGAGGCATTGAGTCTTTTTGGAGCGTATATCATTTTAATCCATGCATTCAAGCTTGCTTTAGGCTAGATCTCATTTATAGGAGTAAAGGATTACATAAAAGCAGTCATAAAGTACATTATTATAAGGTAAGTGAATGTTCCAGCTACATATAGTGCACTGAACAAGTTTAATACAGTAAATGCAATGTTTATTTGACATATTCAAAAAAAGCCTTGTATATTAGTCGTATTTGAAATCAATTTCTACTCATGTATGTTTTTCTCCTGCTTTAACACAAGATTATGTCTACCTACTGTTTCCCAACGCCTGACCGTTTTACTTTCAAAAAGTTCTCCAGTCTAATGATTTACAAACATTTGGCGAATCGTCTCGACTGAGTCATTCTAAAGGAACTGCTACTGAAGAAATTGGATAGCAGTTCTTTGAATTTGCTTTACAGGATGGAGAGTGTGCTTAAATGAAGTGTTCTACTTAAATTGTTTGCCCACTTTATTGCTATTAAACATCAAATGTTGAGTGTTTTCGCTCTTCTGTGAACGGTAAGCCACATAAACATAAAACATACCTAGTAGGCTCCTAAAACAAGACATTTTCCATTAACACCTAGAAGAACAGTCAGCCAATCAAAATGTGATACAAGGCCTAATGCTAATATCGTCATCTCAGTGGCGAAATGTTTCCCAATTTACACTAATACCACAAATATTGTAATTTTACATACTAAATGTTAAATAACATTTAATATAAACACTAAATATTGTAATACTATCATTCAATTTGAATGCAAATGTGTTACATATTTACATGTTATAGACAACGAAGATTTTTAACTTTTGTGACATATGTGAATGTAATTTCTTGGGACTGAAATACTGAGAGCAAAATATAAAAATATTTTAAATATATTTCCAAAAATATGCACACAAAAAAAAAAGATATAAAAAAGCTATCATTTTAAATATTTTTAGAAAATATATTTACATAAATATATCGATAGTTTGGGCATTTTTATTTATTTGTATATTGTGAAATATATTTAACAATATGTTTTTGTGCCCTATGGTCTCTCTGTGTGATGTTTAACGGGGGATTTTTCTGCCCCAAACAGAAGAATGTTCAAAATAGTTCCTCCTTAGCTGCTTTCCATGCTTTCAGCGGCATGAAAACAAGTTGTCATAAATTAAGAGCTGCAGCAAACAAAGGACTTCAGCCTGACTGTAGCCTGAGATCGTGTGAAGGTCAGCAGCGCCCTCTAGTGCTCAACATGTGTCCTGATGCCAACACATATAATGCAGTGAAGAGACGCGTCAACTGCTGAGGCTGCATAGCAAACATATTTGTATTGCTGCTGCTAGTAATCCACCGATTGTAGGTTAAACGTGGACACAATTCCTACACCTTTTGGCAAATTAATTTCCATAATCTTTCACTTAATACATGACTGGATTAGTTGTTAAATCATTTTATAAAAATGACTGAATCAGACTCGAATTATGCCAAGTACACATTCTTCGAATTAATTTTATTTTGATAACTACTATGGTAATCAGAGCACAAACTGATATTCAGTTATTCAGTTTCAGTCTGATTTGTGGTCAAGTTTTTAATGTATCCACCTTATTTATTTATTTACCGATAATTTTGTACCATAATGATGTACAATTACAAAGAGTAAGAAAATATATTCCATTCATTGTAATTAACAACATGAAGTGTATTAAACATTATATTACATCAAGGTTTCCCAAACTGGGGGTTTTAAAGGAACTGCAGGGGATTTATGAGTTTAATGAAAAGCTAACAATTCATTAAATCAAAAATCATGTAAAATTAAAATAATTCTAAAATAATCTAATTAAAACACTTACTAAAAAACGAAATATTTTATGTTTACCTGCATGCCATATGAACATTAACCAATGTCAGAGAACTCTGAATACGCAAATGTGATAATTATTAAAATATTTATTTTAAAAACTCAGGGAAGGGGTCCTTGATTATGATTTCAATTTTTTATCTTTAGTTAATGAGTAATGTTCCTGTTTGAGCATAAACAACATCTGAAGAGTTCAATGCAAAGGGAGATATTTTCTTTTACAGAATTAGCTTTTTAAGGCCTACAACAAACGGCTGGTAGGGACTACTTGTCGAGCTTCTTCCTTGGTTTGTGATATGACAAACGCTAAAATTCAAATAAACCCTGCCCCCGGGAACACACAATCACAACACACGGGGCCAGCTAACCAATCTGAGTCCATTGCGTATTTCTGAGGAAGGGAAGGGGCTTCATAGAACCAGGAAGTCAACAGACATGGAATCAGCGGTCAAATATATGAAAAATAATGACATTTTTTTTTAAACGAAGCATGAACATGTGTTAAAGTGCCCCCATAAACACAATCAATCCCTAACATTAGTTTTTGGTTCCCGTTTGGTTATTTATGTGGGAACCAAATACTAACGTTATGGGAACGTTCTTCAAACAAAAAAAACTACAACTAACGTTCTGGGAACGTTAAGAAAAATTTCCTGGCTAACCAAAACAAACCATAAAAAAATGACCTTCTGAGAACCAAAAATTGTTAGCTGGGTTGCTCCGCCCCTAAACACACGAACACGCTATGCAACACATTCAACAACAACTACAATCACCGGCTTATCAGACAGGTATACAACATGAATCAGTCCTGTTAATACTATAGCTAATATTACAACAACAGCACTGTTTCTGTGAAACATGGCAAATCCAATGTCACTCATGTGTGGAACAGAATCAAAATATCGACGTGCGTTTTCAGGCCTTCCCCACTCTCTGTAACGTCTCTCCAGCATTAACGCCGGTCGTAGCTCGTGCCTGATCGTAACCCTTCTTATTCCAGTCATAGTTTTCTGACCTTTTCCTTTTGGTAACATTTCAGTCATCTCTCTAGAAACCTCCCGCCGCTTGTTTACTTTCTCTTCTCCCAATCACGAGTATACATATACACGCCCTCTGTTGCTGATTGGCTACAAGACTGCTGTGGTGCTCGGCCTTATCGGTCCGATCCCCATTGTTTTTCCCGATTTACACAGCTTACAAAGTACACACTTGCATTACTTGAGTGAAAGTACAGATACTGCGTCTCAAATATTACTCCATTACAAGTGAAAGTTGTGAAGACTCATTTTTACTCAAGTTCAAGTAAAAGTACCAAAAGTAAATTTCCCTTATGTCAATGCACTGTTCTATTATTGTTGTATGTAAACTTGCAATACCCTCTTGAAGCAACAAAATGTAGTGGGGTGAAAAGTATGATATGTCTTTCAAATGTAGTGAAAAAGACAAGATTTCAGAAAAAATAATACTCACGTGAAGTAGGCTACAGATACTCAAAAAGCACATCTCTGTACAATACTTTAGCAAATGTACTTTGTTACTGTCCACCTCTGGCTAGGGCTATGTACAATTTTTTTTCAGCACACAAACAGAACAAAATGCAAGCTCCAGCCAAGGAAATTCTGAAATGAATGTATTCATCATAATCATTTACTATGCACAAAATGGTTGTACAAAAACAGATGCCACCCAAATACCCACTTAACCTTTCCAATCTTAAGAGGGGCGACGATTACCGCTGTTTTCCCATCTCTCTCCTCTTCATTTGTTTTAATCTCTCAGCTTCATTTACGTTTATCAGTTACAAATGAGAACACCTCATCTAAGGAAAGTGCAATCCTGTCCTCAGTAAAAAGGTCAAACAAACAGTCAATATAGAGGAAAAAGGGCTCGCTATACAAGAAAACACTGAACTTTAGAGTGACTTGTCCACTAAATACAATACTGTCTGGAGTGGTATGTCAGAGAATGAATCTCAAAATCAGAGCAGAGCATTCTGGGATGTCTGTGTAGATGTTATGGTTAAAAAAAAAAAAGTATAGCTACTGTTTGCACACCCCATTCAGGGATCTTGATGAGAGTGTATTTGGGATTGAAGTGACTGAAGATAAAGCCCCATTATACAAAACCACACTAGGTAGTGCACTAAAACGGTCCTCGACCACCAAAGCAACAACAAAAGCCCCCACCGGATAAAACCCACTGCTGAACTTTTACGTTTCATCTTTTAATTAGCTTCCAAAAATATCCCCAAAGTCTGGAGATTACAATTAGCATTGCAGTTTGAACTGTTAAAACCATGTGACAAATAAAAGTCAAACAATACGAATTAAAACATTTCATTCTATCTAATCTGCATGCAAAGCAATTAGTAACCCCACCGCTACGGTGGTCCGAAAAAGAGGCGTTTTGGAGAGGAGACTGACACGGTAAATGTCTCCTTCACGGTTTTAAATTGTGCCTGCGTGACAAATTGTACAACCCTGGCATAACAAGAAGAAAAAAACAAACAATTGTGCGTAGTCACTTGGTAGTTTTAACTTCAGAAATGTATGTCAAATACATGGCACTTAACACTAGAATTATCTTTAAAACTGTACAGAGTGAAGGACTACAGGTTATATGGGGTGTGGCGTCTGCTCACCTCCATTTTATTTTATTACGCAGGATTTATCTCCTCAAATGAGCTCAAAGAAAGGAGAAAAAAAACACATCCCGAACCCTTCGTTCAAGCACAAAGAGCAAAAGTAAAGCAGCTCTCAGTGAGTGTCATGTCAAAGGACTGGCCAGACAGCATGGCTTTAACTCTTCAACAAATAGATGACGTGAAAAACATCAGGTCTGCTGGGACATTCAGACCTGATAAAGCAGCTTCCCCTAAAGATGCGTCCACTCGCTCAACTCTCTGCCAGTGATTGTCGCTAGAGAGTGGAACACTTGACAAGGTAGGTGACGAAACAAATCAACAAAACACTGTATAAGAAAAACGAAAATAAATGCTGTGTAAAATGTTGCATTCAGGTCGGCATCCGTTGAAGGACACTGACAGGAACCGTTTGCCGACTAAGTGCTTAACTCATTACAAAAAAAAAACATGCAAAGGTTCATGTACATAAAGTTCGAAACTAAAAACATCTCGCACATCTACTATCAAAGAGAGATGACGGAAAAGACAACATATTATTGGTCAGCTAGAGTCACTTCTGAGTGTCAAAACTAAAGCAAAAAATGAAGGTTTGATGTTAACAAATGAACATTATGTGTACCCTGTAAACCAATGATTTGGCTGCCCATGTAAACTCTCAGAAGTAGCATGGTAAGGACAGAATGTTACAGGATCAAATTAAATCTGCTTCAAACCCAGTAGAGTTTAGCACAGGGATCAGCCAACCTGCCTCTCTGAAGGTCTTGTTTCATCACACACATACTCGGATGGCCCAACAGCATCAGATCCATAAAAAAAATAACAGGGTCATCTTGGCAACACATGAACCATCATGAAGGACTGCAGATGCACATGAGAACTCAGAGGGTATACGCGTGTGTGTGTGTGTGGGTGCTTATTTCTGCAGAGGATTCATCCAGCCTTTGCATTACACCACACACACACACACAAAACAAACAATTTGCAGTTGTATTACAGTATAAGAGTGTGTGTCCTGAGCAGTCTAATGAGGAATGCTCCAAAACGCTTCAAACAAAACAGATGAGTCAACTCTGATAAGGCCTGCAAGACGACACGAATAGAAGTATATATATATATATATATATATATATAAAACCTAAAAAGTGATTCATCCTACAAGTAGTCCTGGAGTGACGCACACATTCACAAACACACTGACACATCAACACACGTCTGTAGCCATGTAATGCACTTCCACTGATGGCTTGAGTGTGCGCGCTTGGGTGGGTTATGGGATGTATGTCTATGTATGAATATGTGTGTAGAGGTATCAGAGGGCATGAGCGCAGATGGACGTGTGTGTGTTCCCGTATGTCAGTATGGACACGAGTACGTGTGTGTTCACGAACATCCCTGTTTACAGTAACAAGTTTCTGTTCATAAGCAGCAAACGTTCAGTCCTAGTGTATGCGGCGTGAGGTGTGTGTTCACTCGCTGTCTGACAGGGTCTCGTATTGAGAGCACAGCAGAGGTTTGGGTTCTTCCTCCCAGGTGCGGGGTTGGGTCTGGCCCTGTGGAGGCGCCGATGTGCCCTGCTGCGTTGGGGAAGGTGAGGGTCCTGACATCATCCCGCTGGGGAGACGCATCTGCATGGTCAGGGGGTTACAGGGGAATGGAGTGGGGCCTACGAGGAGGAACCAGAAAAAAATGTCATATATAAATACATAAAATGTGCAGTACCATTCGGTAGGACTTTGTAACATTTCTAAAAGAAGTCTCTTATGCTCACCAAGGCTGCATTTATTTGATCAGAAATACAGTAAAAAAGTCATTTTTTGAAATACTGCAATTTAAAATAGCTTTTCTATTTAAATGTATTTTAAAATATAATTTATTCCTTTGATGACAAAGCTGAATTTACATGATCCTTCACAAATCATTCTAATATGCTGATTTGATGCTGAAGAAATATTTCTGATTTTAATCAATGTTGAAAACTGTTGAGCTGCTTGATATTTTTGTAGAAAACCCTGATAAATTTCTTTTCAGGATTCTTTGATGAATAGATGAATAGTCACTTTTGATCAATTTATTGCAACCTTTCTTTCCCTCGCTCAAAAACAAAAAATAAAAATCTTAACATGAATTTAACATACATTAACCCAAATTTATTATATAATGATTTGAAATATTAGGTGAAATTGATTCAGTCATTTTAGTTGGCAGATGTTGCTAATATTTAACAAGTTTCTCACCCCTATTGTGATTGTGTGCGTGCACGTGTGTACCTGTAGATGAGGGTCTGTCCTCCCACACTCTGTTGGTGAGTGGGGTGTGACGGTTACAGTCTCCCTCAGAGTGGACAGAGGACACAGATGAAGGTCTCTCTCCTCCAGACAGACCAGGACCAGGAGACTTAGTCTTGCGACCATTAGAGCGCCCTCCTTTGGATTTAACTGAATTCAAACACAGGACACAAATCAGAGATAGTCAGACAAACAAATATAAAGATATCTGAATGTTTCCAAAATAATTCTCAGCTGGTGGAACATAACTCAAAAACAGGTCATAGGTCTGTTCTTCTGACCAGTGAAAAAAAAGTATGCAAATGCAACTAATAAATAAGAGAGGCCATGCTTCTTTTGTTGTAGACATGAAAGGAACGAAACGGTGCATATTTACCAGTCACTTGGTAAAAATTAGAAAAAAATGGGGTGGTGCCAAAATGAACAGGTTGAGTCCTCAAAAAATAAAAGTATGCAAGATAAGAAAACACAACTGCATTAAATACAGGCTCATCATGTAACAATTTATTATCACATGCTGTTACTAATTTACATGTGAGCACATTTGGTCCAAAAAATGGAGCCAAAACCTGACACATGCAGCCATGAAGGTAGCTGCATTATAAAGGGTTTATTTGGCGCACCTGGCAAGGAGTAGGGGTCTTCAGAACGCCCATCCGCTGAAGCTGGCGGCCCGACAGCAGCTGGCACGCCAACACTCATCGAGTTGACAGAGTTGGACGGTGAGCGATCGTCCATCTGTTCATCATACTTTCCCATGAGGGCTTTCCTGATGATGGCCTCCAGACCTATAGTATTACCGCTGGCCTCTGGTGCCGGGTGACTGCGCACGCTCACGGGTCCTAAAACAGATGTTACAGTGGTTGTGTTAAAGAAACAGGAGTGTGTGAAGTTATTTGGCAAGCTTTCCTTAAGACAGAGGACAGTAGTATAAAATGAACTGCTGTTGAGGAGAAAAGACCACAAGTGGAGGAGCTGCTCACCTGCATTTGTAGAGGCGGGCATGTTAAAGATTTCTGTCCCAGGTTGGCCCTGGTCTAAAACAGAGACAGGAAAAGATAAGTTTGAGCCGTTTAGCCATCAACAATAACATACATATTAATGTCAGTTAAAACCCAACAGATTCAGTCCCATTAACTCACTGAATTCAGCCTCTGTGCCGACCACCATCTTCTTAATCATTTCCTTCTTGCTCTTGACAATAGCGGAGTTGCTCTCAGTCAGTTTACTGAAGAAGGCTGGTGGTTGGGAGCTACTAGCTGGTGAACGAGATCCCATACTGAGACACAAAAGCAGAGAATGAGTAATGAAAATACAGGATGAAAGATGATGTCCAATTAGTGAATGAATCCTTCTATTGAGTCAAATAGTTAATGATTCGTTAAAGAATGGAGCCTTTTCACAGACTGTGATGACGTGCTTCCAGAGCTATTAAAAATCAAATTGAAATGCAAAAATTATAATTGTAGTTTTCTGTCCACCACTATGGAAGTTCACCCAATCATGACGACTTCCATCTCTGAGAACCAAGGGAATGTGAAAAGGGTCCATTGCATAGAATCAGTCTGAATCGTTGTTTGAACCAATCCACTCTAATGAGACTGACTCCCATCACTATTGTGTGAATGCATCTGTTCGTATGTTATATACCCCTGCTCTGCTTGTTCATTAGGGTAGGCAGCTCCTGGTGTCTCCGGCTCCGAAATGGCCCCTGGTGGTGAAACAGGTTCAATCCCATCAGCAGCCAGACTCACTGGAGAGGCCTTACTCTGAGGAGGAGACCTGTCTCTCCCTCTCTCCCTCTCAGCAGCAGCGCCTTCTGGGGTGTAGCGGGCGTTGGGGTCTGTGGGGGTCTGGGCTTGGGGGGCGCTGGGAGGACGAGTGAGATCCAGCACAGGGGAGCTGTGATATCCAAACACAGGCTGTAGAGATGATTGACCCCCTATCTGGCCTTGCTGCGACTGGAGCGTGTAGTCTTTAGTGATCACCTCCTGAAAAGAGAAAACATCCATTTGGTGATGTGCAAGCAGGAGACAAGTACACATATTTATATTTAGAATAGTTACTTTTTTTTTACCTTTGTAAAAGGTCAGATTGATCAAATTATTTTAAAAATGATTTTAATTGCGACAGCCATAACAGATTGTTTCATTTAATTGTCTAGAATTTGCTGGGCATTTTTGGTTATTTTTGTGGCACTTACACTGATGTGCTGGGCGAGAGTGACCACTCTCTGAGAGCCTTTGACAGCAGAAGGCGGCTGCTGACCTGGAGAAAGTCTGTCCTCAGACCCGTACAGCTGTTCTAGTGCCTTTTGGTGAGCTGCAGAGAGGACAGGGAAGCACACATAGACAGGAAGAGAAGACATGAAAGTGCGGTTGAGTATGATGTGGCAGAAGGCTCTGGATTACAGTGAGGGTAAGAGCAGAGACGGGTGTGTAAGCGGTGCGGTCACATACAGGCTCTGGGATTACAGTACTCAATGGCTTGCTCACACGTGTGTTCAGAGATCAAGCCAACATTATGGAGGCATCTGACTGTAGCGAAGTGTAAGCACTGTGCTGATTAGCAGAAATGCTTTGAACAAAAACACAACAATAAAACAGAAGCAAAATGCGTGTTTAAAATGAGCTGTGAAGGTAGGAGAGGTGGATATATCTGCTTTATTACCAGGCCTAAGAACCAGGGATATTTTCCTTTTTCTGCAGCTGTACATTGGATTTTCCCCACTATTTTCACACTAGCCATTATTATCTTTACAACAGAATAAAGTATATATTGACACGACAGAAACTGAGGCTGATATATATATATATATATATATATATAGGGTGACCAGACATCTCGTTTTTCCCAGGACAGTCCCGTATTTCAGCTCTATTTTTAATGTCCCGACTTATTTTGAAAAAATCAAGTTTTCACCCACCTGTTTATGTTCACTTAAGCCATAACCGACTGCATTTACGTGAGATACTCCACACGATGGACATTTTGACAGCTGTGTGTATTTGACAATTCAGGCACAAGGAGAACTGATCGCAGAACTGGGATTGTGCGGCCGAGAGAGCATTTCTGTTGTGTGTCCTTCAGCATGATTCCGCGTATCCCGGCCTCACTTACTGCAAGTTATTCAATAACGAATTGTGATTGGATGGTAATTTTGTTCCTTGACAAGCTTAGTTACCTTTGATTAGGCTGTTCTCGCATGACAGAACATCAACATCACTATCACTATCACTACTACTACCACTACCAGCTCTGATCACCCAGTTGTAAAGAAATTTTGAAATACGGGACAAAACCAGATATGTGTCAGTATAGTACATTGATTCGGTCTTAAAGGGATAGCAGCCTAATTAAATGCCTGTCTGTCTCAATGTTAATCAAACAACAAAAGATGTTAAATAAATGCATCCGTCTGTGTGCATTGAATTTATTTAATACACGAGTTTCACAATTTGAGTTGAATTGCTGAAATAAATGAACTTTTCCACGACATTCTAATTTATTGAGATGCACCTGTATATATATATATAATCAACAAAAGCAATAATATTTACATTGACAACTCATGGATTCAATTTAAATGAATAGAAAAATCTTAAAAGACTTCAGGCACATCCAAGAACAACATTGGTTAAATGCAGTGATGTGAATCATGAGGAATTATTTATTCTAATCCCACATAATGGTTTCAGACACTTGACAAGTTTCATTATTTTTAAAGAAGCTCCCCCTCATAAATATGGTCCTAACAACATACACTACCTTTCAAATGTTTGGGCTTAGTAATATTTTTTTTATGTTTTCAAAAGAAGTCTCTTATGCTCACCACAGCTGCATTTATTGCGATAAAAAATATAGTAAAACTGTTACATTATGGAATATTATTACAATTTAAAACATCTGCTTTCTATTATATTTTTTATACATTTTAAATTTTTATATATATATATATATATATATATATATGTGTGTGTGTACGTATATGTATGTGTGTATGTGTATATATATATATATATATTGTTCATTGTTAGTTCATGTAAACTAATGCATCAAACTAAATGAGACCTTATTGTGAACTGTTGTTGTTTTTGTTTTATTCCTGTGATGACAAAGCTGAATTTTTAGCAGCCATTACTCTAATCCTTCCACCATATCCTTCAGAAATAATTCTAATATGCTGATTTGGCGCTCAAGAAATATTTCTTACCACAGACAGTTGTGCTGCTTAATATTTTGTGGATAGTGTTTTTTTTTAAATCTTTGATGAACAGACAGTTCAGAAGAACTGAATTTATTTGAAACAAATCTCTGGTAACACTATAAATGACTTCTCAATCTCACTCACTTCAAACTTTTGAACAGTAGTGTAAAAGCAAGACTCATGTGTTTGATACTAGTAAGATTTTAGTCTTTTGGCTGTAGATTAGGGCTGCACGATAAATCGCATGCGATATTTAACGCGCATCTTGTCAGAAAGCCGGTTCTGTAATCAGCGGTAAATCTCCATCACCTGCGGGCTTTCACGTTGAGCAGCATTAACTACACAGAGCCGTTGTTCTCTGACGAGCTGCGCAAAAAATCGCGCGAATATGAACGTGGTTTTGCGCAGCTCGTCAGTGAACAACGGATCTGTGTAGTTAATGCTGCTCAATGTGAAAGCACGCACGTGATAC